TGCTACAACAGGAACTTAGGTATAGTTTGAGTAGACGAATGTGCATGCTAACGGATGAATTTGAGTTTATTTTTTAGTGGAAGAGCAGGATACTCGGACCAAATTATTACGCCTCAGCCTTACAAAACTTACTTATTCAAGAGGACCTCGAAGGACCCTCACAATATCAATCCGTCTTTCTATTTTGTTGTATTGTATAACAACCAATTTCTTAATTAATATGTTTTTACTTAAACTATCATTGATAATTTGATTGTATTGACTCTTTTTGTAGTAAGTTATCAGCTCAAGAAATCCAAGAGATTTGTTATTATTTTCTATTGTTTTTGTTTTTATTGAAGGATCTCTATAATTAGGCATTTTTAAAAGGTTGTAAAGTTTAATTTGATGAAATTTGTCATGAAAAGGTTATTTTGAAATGTGAAAATAAGACTCAGTCCAAATATAAAATTTCGACATTATTTGAGAAATTGAATATACTGTATACAAAAAAAACATTTTGTCCTTAATAGGTTTATTTATTGAAACAAGCTTTACTTGCACTTTTTATGTAAATTTTTATTTAATAAAATAGAATTTAAAACTTTATCACATAAATAGAATTAACATTCAACTTAATTTTATATTCTTTAATAATATAATTATATATATTTAATGAATGTTTTCTTTAATTTGACGCACGTGTTTTCATTTCACAGTTTAAATTTTATGTAAATTTAAAATGTTTAATAATTCACATTCTAGCTTTATTCGACCGTTGAGTACTTTTGAAATAGTAAAATACGGAATCACGAAGAGTTGATAAGTTCGCAATATAATAGAAAGAACACATTTTAGAGAAAACAGTTTAAACTAATCTAATTATGAAGGCAGATGAATGTGTATAACAAGTAAAAGTAAAGTATTATGAAAAAATGCACTTTGAGACAGCATGCATATAATGTGCTTTCGATCATTATTACGTGTCTAACTACAGTATTAGATCTATATAGATGATACTATTTCTTATTTTGATCCGTCAGTCTTTTTTTTTTTTTTGATAATAAATCAGAATCTAATATCTAAATTTTTAATAAACGATCAGATAATTATTTAATGCCTGTTTGGAGTGGGAAATTGTTATGCATTGAAATCTCTTGCTCATATTTTCAAATGTCCTTGTATTCGAACATTTTCTTAATCTGCGTGATATTGGACTAACGTTTAAAAAAATCAATTCGGTTCCATCAAAGAGTATTGCTTAATCTTAAGAGGATCCCTTGGTAATAAATATGTAATTCTCTCTCCACATGACGGTTTTCCCGAATTTAATGACCCGTAAGTAATTTTGTCCAATTTAAAATTAACGAATCCATAATGTTGACAGTTATCATTACAATTGCTAAATAACTGACTTATCAATGTTGGATACTTTTCGGCTTCATTGATAGGTAAATTATGCTTATTATGAAACAAGCTTGAATTAGCTTTATTCCAGTTGACTTCTATTTGGCCGGTTATTTTTGCTCGAGAACTATCGGTATCAACGGCACTATTGTATAAAAAATTAAGTTATATTAAATTGAAAAATATTTATTTAAGTATGGATATAAAATTGTTTACTTACCAAAAGTTCAACGAAATTCCTTGTAAAATTTTATTATTTTTAGAATTTCCCCCAAGATCACAATCAAATAAAAACGCTGACATGGGTTCGATAAAGTGAGAACCAATGACTTTTGTTGATTCTTCTGGATTATATATGATAGGATGTGTAGAAGCAAAACTGTTTTCTGGATTTAGTTCTGCACTAGCTGTGTTAGTTTCCGCTTCGAATTCACAAATCCCTAACATACAAGTTCTTTGAAGATCCAGACCCTCGCAATCCGTGATTCTTATTCTATTTGTTCCGGATACTGTATACTTTCCACTTCTCAGTATTAATGGGTTCAAGAGCATGTCAAAATCGAAGCTCGCCGTTGGTCCAACAATAATCCAACCAAGTTTAAGATCGAATTCCTTTTTTTTTCGTAGCTTAATAACATTAGTTGTACACTTCTGAAGGTGATGGATCACTATGACTGGCGTCATAAAATCTTTATTCTCATAATCTATATGCGAAGAGAATACATTTTTTTCATCTTTGCTCATTATTGACGCAAAAATTTGGCATTTGTCCATATTTTTAATTTCTTTAAGATGTGGAGACAAATCATAAACAAATGGTTTAGAGTGTACACTTGGTGTAAATTTGATTGGTTCGAATTTTGCTGTATTAATTAGAGCATTAAAGAATATCGATTCAATTAAAGTAAAAGAATATTAAACGATTTATAAAAAAATATTACCTTGTAGAATTTGAGGGCCAAAAACTTCCAAAACTTTTTCCTTTAAGTCACCTTTCAATAGTTCGAATAATATATAGATCTCGCGATATTCAATTATTTTCCAGTTCATTGCTTTATCGAGAGATTTTTTCCACGGAACCAAACCTTCATTGTGGTACATGTTCTCTATTCCGCCAATAACTCGAATGCTTTCATTTGTATCACTATTAGAATAGTTTGTCGCGTGTTCGTTTCTTCTATCGATATTTAAGCTAGCTTTTGCATTAACGAGAGGAAGTCCTATGCCAACATTGCCGTTGATGTTCTTAGATTCAGAACTTTTTTCTATGTCAATAAGAGAGATTGTAAGAACCTAACTTGCAAGTTAACTTATGAATAAGTGCTACTTACTTGAACTTTCAGTGTAAACATTTTTCCTACTAATGACCCCTCCCAGAATAAGTTGGGTTGAATAAAAGTGACCATATTTTGTTGATACTTTATGAAGATTGTCAATTTTTTTATTACGATTCGTTCCATTCAGTGCTTCTTTAACATCTTTGATGAAGTCATCAGTTAAATCAACACAAGATTTTGGGATATTGAGTTCAGCCTTCACATATATCTCATGAGAATGTGAAGAGGATGACGTATGGTTTTCAAGACTTTCTGAGGAAGCATTCCGAGAATGACCGAGAGAAAGGGAAAACCATTTTATAACAGTTGAAATGTTTGCATCGTATATAAAACTCCGTTTACATAAACTATTGCATGTATGTTTGCATATATATGTTCGTGTTTTACTATCGTTCAATGGGTTTGGGGGATTAATTTGACCGATATCAATTTTGATGCCTTTTTCAGTAGCACTTATGATAGAACCATCATTATTGAATGTAAAGCCCTGTTCATTTTTTAACTGTGTATAATCGAAGTCTGTCGTTTGCTTGATATATAATAAAAATCCGTCTTTATTTTCTTCTATTATTTCTGATATATATATGTTATGTTCATCGTTTTGTGAAATTTGGGCATCCTTTTTCAAAAAGTAACAATTTGATCCCATTTGAAGGTCGCTGGGTCTCATATTTTTCCTTCCCTCAAGTTTGGTCCGAACCATTTTAAGGTTTTCGTTTTGCAGTGACCTTAAATAATGCTTTTCAATATTTCCTTCCGTGTTTTTTTTAAGAACCGTTACATCAAAGGACTTCAGGAGCGCGTAATGATAATGGGTATAATACTTTTCAAGTAAATAAATAATGACAGAGGCTGTCAATAAAATACAAACATATAATAAGGGTATATCCATTGTGCGTGATGATAGATAAATTTCTTTAGTCAAAGAGCTTAAATGGATTATTCTTTATAAAAAAAAAGGGGTTACATTAAAATAATACAGCACTTTCCTTACATCTTTGTTTATTCTGTACACTGCATACTGTACGTTCTACAATATTTGTGTTCCAGAAAATGTGACAACTTGAATATCTGTGCATACAACGCAACATTTCACAAAGGTTATCTTCGTTTTTTTTTGTTTTTTTATGATTCTTTCTACATATTGTTACTATGTATGAATTATATTCATATTTTATGTTATTCGTTATTTTTTTCGCAATCATTTATCATGGTTTTAATAATTTCCGTCGCCCTGTTTTAAAAGTCACTGTTATTAAAGAAGACTCTGAAGGTTACACTATTGAAAAGCATTTTAAATTATTACTCAATGAAAAACTTACGCTGGTTCGAGCCAAGCTTAAAGGAAATAAACCTAGTGATCTTCACATGGGATCAAATTGTTACTTTCTGTCAAAATATCGAAGATTGCTATCACGAAGTGAAGAAGATAACACATGTTTATTGCAAATAGCTGAAATAAAAAACGAAGAATATTTGATATATGTTAAACAAACGGAAGGTTTAGACAATACTTTGTCTAATCAAATTGTCAAGGTCAATATTCATCAAATTAAGATTTTCGAGTATTTTAATGGTGATAATTCAAAATTTAACAACACACAAGGAGTTCACTTCGTGGATTCTTTAGCATGCAAGATTTCAAAAATCACTATCTCTAATAACTTGCCCAAAAAGTTTCAAGCGAAATTAGTGAATTCGACAAAAAGAGAAGACTCCTTTTTATTAGAAAATCATATTTGTACATCTGCTAATAATTTAAAATGGGTACTCGACGATTATATTGTGAAGAATCCTTTGGATTCCACAAACGATATTTATCTAGAAATACAATGTTCACGTGTCGAAATAATTGTTGATAAAGAATCAATTATGCCATCTGAAATATTGATAACCAATATAACCAAGGCTCTGGAACATACTGACCCTTATCACGAACTACTACGAGTATTCAGAATTTTCGGGCATTTTTTACCTAGTAAGATTATCCTGGGACATAAAGTATACAAAATGATTTCAGTGAGTAGGAATAAACCGGCCGAATGTATAAATTGTGAAGATTTTGCGGCAAACAAGAACGATATTTTGGACAGATGGAAGGAGTTCATTAGACCATACTACTTTGACTCTCCTTATTTAGTATCAATTAACGGTGATATAATTATGGAAGATAAACTTGAAGAATGGATGAACTCTTGTTTAGCAAGCGATACAAGCTCATTAGAGATCATTAATTGGAATGACTTATACCCATTATACGAAATACTCGAAAACCCCCTTCGTCAAGTAGTCAAATCCGTTCTTGAAATAGATGATCAAGTGGGGAACTCGGAAGCTAAGGAGAAGGTTCTCATGGTAGGAATAATCTCAATAGAAGATCAAAAATATGATCACGTAAATTTTCCCGAACAGCTTAAATCCGACAAAATAAAGGAACATGGATATTACTATCGTGTAAATTTTCCCAAGCAACTCAAATCCAATAAGTATAAAATATTTGGAAAACTCATGACACAAAATGGAGAGTCAGTTGATAATGTGGTGGTTAAGTTCAGATCAATGGACACGCGTGGATTCTCAGCAAGAATTGAAAAATTTGAGTACGTAAATTTTATTATCCTTTTGAGAAATAATTAATATGAGTATTTAATTTACGAATATAGTATATCTTTATTTAGAGAGAAAGAATTAAATAATCTTCAAATAACTTGGTTGTTAATTGGAAGCCCTGCTCAAATAGGTTTTTATAGTCGAGAAACGCGAGAAATCTCTGTATTACGCTCGAATAACTCTTCTTTTATGCGAAATCCTGACGTGGGTAATTGGGATATTCAATTAGAAGACATTCCGGATATTTTACCAAGCGACTCGATTCTTATTACTTCATTTGCATATCCCCTGTCAAACATCGATCCAAATTTCATACCCAACATTAGTAATTATGCTGATAACAAAATTACGGTTAATGTTCATGACCCCGATTATTACGAAAGAAAAGAAAATATTAAAGGCTATTATGATGTGGAGGAAAATAAAAACAAGGGGGATGAAGAAGAAGAAAAAAAAAGTGATAATGAATCCTATAGCGAAAAATGCGAGTTCAAGTGGTGCATTATTCATGTCCCAGAATATCTCCAATTTGATGTTGACTTTAATGTTACTATAAAATCAATCCATTTGAAGAAAATAGGTCAGAACATAAAAGAAACTCAATTGAAAAAAACAGTTCCTATCGAGCCTATTCCTACAACAGCAACAAGTTCAAAGGAAGAGTTTTCACCATACAGTGTTGAATCACAACTCGTGAAAAATAAGAGTAAAGAATGTAAGAATTCCTACATGTTTTAAACAAATTATTAATTTATCGCGAGCTTATATACTGTATAGTGTTAAAAGTATTATTCGAGTTTAAACTTATTTCATTTTTGACAAATCAACTCTAGTACCTTCGGAACCTTTAACTTCAAGTCAAAATATAAGTAGGGTTACTTTAAATTATTTTTAATATCTTGTAAAATTATAATATATTAACAAATCTTATAATATTTCTTTATTGTTAGGACGTAAGTTTTTTTTATTTTTCTTGCAATTCTAACATTACCCTGATTAACCTATTCATTGTTTTTTTATTTACTTACAGTGGTAAGTATATTTGTGATGCTTTCATTATAATTAATGACAAATTGTATTTAACTCATTATTTAATACTTTGGTTAGCATATCGTAAGTATATATTTAAGCTCCAAATATTAGAAAATACATTACGCGATTTTTTTCGATCTGCTAATAATACACATTATTAAATTTATAATATAATGAAATTTTGTTTAATATTAGGACAAAGCTGTAAGTATGCTTTTCTCAATTTTATAGTAATGTCATGCTAATGTTACTCCGGCTCATGAAATTTACCGAATCTTTTCCAAATATAAGTTCCCGGATATGCATTATGAAAATGGCATGGATTTCTTAGTAAATGCTAGAGAAAAAGTGAAATATGGTTATCCGAATGATTCGTCATTTAATTATCGAAAATCAATCGAAGAATTTAAAGCCGAGGATTCCTCATCATCTCATGACGTAAAAGAACGCTTATTAAAAGCATCGGGAACACATAATGTTGGCTTTCGTTATTATGAAGGAATTGGAGTTGAAAATGATGAATATAAGGCATTTGAATATTATCAAAAAACATCCGAGATGGGTGATGCTAAGGGAACATACAATGTTGGCTGTTGTTATCACCATGGAATTGGAGTTGAAAAGGATGAATATAAGGCATTTGCATATTATAAAAAATCATCTGAGATGGGTGATGCAAAGGGAACATGTAATGTTGGCTATTGTTATCGCCATGGAATTGGAGTTGAAAAGGATGAATATAAGGCATTTAAATATTATCAAAAATCATCCAAGAAGAGTGATGCTAAGGGAACATATAATGTTGGCTGTTGTTATCACCATGGAATTGGAGTTGAAAAGGATGAATATAAGGCATTTGCATATTATAAAAAATCATCTAAGATGGGTGATGCAAAGGGAACATATAATGTTGGCGTTTGTTATCAAAATGGGATTGGAATTAAAAAGAATGAACATAAGGCATTTGAATATTATCAAAAATCATCCGAGATGGGTAATGCATCGGGAACATTTAATGTTGGATATTGTTATCTCAATGGAGTTGGAGTTGAAAAGGATGAATATAAGGTATTTGAATATTATCAAAAATCATCCGATATGGGTGTTGCTGAGGGAACATATAACGTTGGCCATTGTTATCTCAATGGAGTTGGAGTTAAAAAGGATGAATATAAGGCATTTGAATATTATCAAGAATCAGCCGAGATGGGTAATGTGGATGCAATGTTGGTGATTGCTGGATTTTATAGAAACGGAATTGGAGTCGCGAGAAACCTACAAATGGCTACGCATTGGTATCAAATGTAAGTAAATTGATTTGATTATATAATCATGGCTATTATTAATTAAAATAATATAGTATGTTGCAAAAAAATCTGCAATTATATTTTATTTGTAACTTAACAAAATATTATTAAAAAAGAAAAATGATTTTAAAAATAAATAAATTAACATCTATAAAATAATATTATTAAAAATTACTTTATTAATTATTTTATCATTTAATTAGATATTTTAATTTTATCAAAAATTTTAAATTGTACTTTTTAATTTCTGTTAAATTTTGTTTAAAAAAAAGGAATACATATTTATTTTTATATAGTTTTTGTTTCTGAATAAAAGATTTTAAAAAGTAAAATAAAAGAACAGATTAATAAATTAATAATTTTTTTAAAAAAATATTAATATTAATATAATATATATATATATATATATTCAGGTGAAGAGTGCTAATAGCTCATGCATTTTATTCTTGAGTTATTTATAATATAATATAATTTTTTTAATTAAAAAGTTTAATTAAATTTATATCTTTTAAAATATAAATTTTTAAATATTTTTAAATAGTTATTTAATAATTGTAAAAATTTCAAATTATAATAAAAAATTTTGTGAATTTTTTTGCAACACGCTGTATATAAACAATTAGGGAAAGAAACGAATTATTAGGTAAGTATGGTGACATTACTATGCTATTATGCATCTTATTTAAAGATAATCCATCCATTTAGTTTTGGATAAATCGATACTTGAGAACTCTGATATCTATGACAGATTCCAAGAAATGCATATCGAAAATAAATACCCGTTAATTTGGATTCCTTACAAGAAATTTAAAAATGTTGAGAAGATAGGACAAGGAGGATTTGCAACTGTGTTTTCTGCTCGCTGGAATAATAGAATAGTTGCACTTAAATTATTTCACGGATCAAGAGGTAGTCACAAGTGTATAAAGGAGGTAACTTTATTTAAAATTTAAAATTTAAAATTTTTTTTCTATTAATTATCCTTTTTCTTATAAAGCATATTGCGATATTGGTCTTAATCACCCTACATTTTTAAAATGTTATGGAGCATTTAGTGATAACACTTTCAAAGATTACATTCTTATTATAGTTTTTTTTTTTATTTTTTTTTTAAACACTAGCTGGGCCTTGCCCAATATACTTTATTATTATTGAGGTTTACATATATTATATTACATTCATTTATAACTATGCTATAACATCAATTTCATTATTTGTATAGTGGACTACATTGGGTTTCCCAAATGTCGGCTTTAAGCTACCTAATTTATACTATAGAATTTTCTATGATAAATTGATCAGGACTAATGTGCCAAGGCTCCATTAGTGTTAGTAAATAAAATGTTAGTAAAATGGTTTGTTTGTGCGTTCCATTTGAATTCTGTATACCACTCTATTATTTTTTCCTTACACTTGCTTGATTTTTCTTCTTTCTTTCTCTTGATTTCTTGATTGATGCATTTTTGCATTTTTGACTGTATCTTGCTTTTCCTTTGTTTATCTGTTCTTGTAATTCCATTTTCTTCTTTCCACTTTATAGCTTCTTCACATCTCTCTTTCCACAGTTTTTTGAAATGTTTCTCCATGTGTATTGTAATTGCATTGCATGTTTCTTCTACTCGGGTTCCTACCACTTCTCTAATATAACCTGTGATTTTTTTTGTGAATATTCCTTTTGCAATGATTGTTCGCATGAATTCTGTATTGTGAATCTGCGGTTTTCTTTTCTTTCTCTGGTTTGCTTTTTTAACTGCTCTATAGCTAGTTTCTTGTTTCAGTGCTTTGTCATATTCTTGTATAATAGTATCCTTCCAATGTTCATATATGAGGTGTTGTAGCGACTCTTCTTTGTTGTATTTTGTGCAAGTTGCTGTTTTGTATACTTCTGGTTTTCTTTCTTTGAGCTTGTTGAATGTTGATAACTCTTCGTTGAGTAGTTTGTATCTAAAATTTCAGCTTGTGTGGTCTTGCCTACTTGTTGTTTTACCAGATATTTTGGTGGGATGTTATGCTATCCATGATGCTTTCCAATCTATTTCCTTTTCTTTTCCACTTGCGATCCATGCCATGTGTCTGTTTTGGGTGAGCCATTCTGCTGTCCATTTAGCATTGTTCTGCTTTTTGATAAACTCGTTGATATTTGTTTCCAGTACTATCTCTTTCCATGCGATGTGGCAATAGTGGCTTTTGTTCTGTGTGTTGGTGCTGATTTTCCATTCTTTTGTTGTTTGGATGCCTTCTTTGGCGAGTTGGTCTGCTCTTTCGTTCCCTTGTATACCCGTATATATTTTTACTTTTACTATTTCTGTTTTCCCTTTTCTGGTCTTGATTATCGTTTTGATTTGTTTAATTGTTATCCAGTTCGCAGTGTGTATAATTTTTTTATATTTCCCCTTTTGGTTCTGTATATTTTGTATTGCTACTTGACTGTCTGTATGTATTGTAACATTTGATGCTTTCGGGATACTGGATAGTAGGCTGAGAATTGCTATTAGTTCTGCCTGGATGGATGATGGAAAGTTCACTGTGTTTGCCTTAAATTCTTTGTAGTCTTTTGTTTCTGTGTTTCTGATGTTCCATCCAATACCCATTTTGCATTTATAAGTACCTATGTCTTCTACTGATCCATCTGTGTATGCTTCGATATTCTTTCAATTCTTGATCTGTTCTTTGATTTTTTTAATTTCTGACATTGCTTTTGTTCCTGCTTTGATGTAGTTGATGCTTGTTGTTTTCCCCCCTTGTTTTTGATTTGTTTTAAAGCTATTTGTTATATCAATTTCTTGTGTTGGATTTTCCCTTTCGTTTGTGATTTGTTGTATATTGTATTGGATTGTGGATGGTGATACCTGTATTCTTTCCATGTGTCCTATAATGTTGCTGTGCAGTTTTGAGCTGAACTTTGTTCATATCTTTTATTGAAATATTTGCTTTCAGTACATGAGATATTACAGTAGTACCAACACACAAATACTATGTCTAGGCTACATTGCTAGCAAATCCCTACTGAACTTTTTAAGGCAGTACCACATATACCCAACAAGTATTATACAT